GGAGACATCATTGTCCATCCGAACCTGGTCTTCTCCGCTACCGGTTCTCCTGGGAAACCAACACGGGGTGGTTCTGCTGTCTTGATAGCTGCGTACGCGCTTGCGCCCAGGATGAGATGTACTGGTAGAAGGGGCTTAGTATCGTTGTCCTCCATACTTACTCCCTCGAGCTGATCATACAAATCAACCAGAGTCTGGTAATTTGGGTTGGCGATTATTAGTAGGTTTCCCCGTTCGCGATCGACTCTTGTCACTTCAACATCCATCTTAAACCTGCCGTCAGTAGCTCCCACGTTGATGGTAGAAATAGAAACTTCACGAATAGTCGAACCCAACATCATTTTTATTTGTCGAACTTCTTTGGATTGAGATCGTCTTGGAAGTTTGTCCAAGAGAGCAGCAGAAGCATAAGAGCTTCCTGCTCCTGTGTCAAGTAGTGCTCGACATATCACACCCTCCACGCTCACGTCAACAACTGGGTATACCACTTGACTTGCACTCCCCCCTGTCGCTACCTTAAGACTTTTCTTCACAGTGCATATCGAAGTGTGGGGCTTTAGGTTGCACTTCTGACAAACAGTTGTATTTCGACACTCATTAGCTCGGTGTTTTGGTCACGTACAATTAAAACACAATTTCTTCCTGGCTAGATTGCCCTTCCTGTCATCCACACTCACTACGCGTGTACACTCTCGTGAACCGACGTCATCACAATATACACAAGGGCGTTTGCGGGCATTGGCATTAAATAGACTTTCTCGTCTACTCCCCTTTCGTCTCTCTTTGTCACCGTCCTTGACAATCTCTTTATCATTAAGGTTTATGTCTCTCCATTGTTTTAAAGCTCTAATAAGATGTGCTAAATCCCATTCTTGCCAATTCCCTTGTCCTCTCACTAAGTCACTCTTTATCCCTGGCAATTTTTCAAGCACACTTCGTGTCATTCCATTCACACGCTCAACTTTTCCCATTGTTTCAAGTGATTGTACATTAAAAAGCAGAATTTTATAGAAATTGTTTATCTCACCTGGATCAGTACTTTTCACCACTTGTAACTCGAGAATGTTCTGGACATAGGCATTGACAATTTCGCTCGGTTTGCCGTACTCTCCTTTCAAGATATTTTTTGCCCTTTCATACCCCTCTACGGTTAGAGGCAACCCATCGATATCTCACCTTCGGCTTAACAAACTCTTTCAAATAGGTAAACTTCGTAACAGGCGACAGATCGGCACCGTCAATTTCAGCAACAAATTTGTTCCAAAAGGGTGGCCAATTCGCAAATTTCCCATCGAACTGCGTAATAGATAGCTTCGGTATTTTTGTCGACGGCGCTTTCTTTACTTGGTTTTGCTCTCCCGTTGCTAACACCTTCTGAAACTTTAGCTGTTGTTCATATTCGTCGCTCGCGCTCGCTGCTCGCGTTTCGTTCAAGGTCGACTTGTGGCAAGTCTAAAAGTTCACGATCGTGACTCATTTTTTATTCGTGCTTTTCGTCCTCGATTGCCCTCTCTTGTTTAACTGATTCGGCCAATTCAGCGACCTGGTTTTCCTTCGCTATATTTTCTTTTATCCGTTTTAATTCTAACAATTTCTCGTCGGCCGTTTTCAAAGTTCCTTCAATGTCGACGAGCCATTCTTGCACTTGCTCTTCAATTTTTTTCTGACCGAATGTCAATTCTATAATGTCATCTTTTAAGGCGTGACTCGCTTCGATTTTGCCTTTGGTTGACGCTTCATGTCTGGTTATCACATCGAGGTTTCTCGTTTTGATTTCTTGTTCACTTTTACCCAACGTAAATTTTAATGTTCGTAGTTTCCCATCAAGCTCTTGTAGCTTTGTCTCCATGCTTTTCTTTCACTTCGTTTGTTTAGTTATATATAATAAATCACTCGATAAATAGCGGCCGTATATCACTATAGTTTGTACGCTGTCGTTTAGTTTCGATTTATCACTCGATAAAATGCTAGGTTCTTGCTCTTGTTCGAGCTTAAAATCTCACAAATCCCCATCACGGTGGTGCCAGTTGTTGTGTACGGAAAATCCGTATATTATTGAACTAAACTCGATAAAGATTAAAATAAAACTATAATAGAACAAAAACAGAACAACAACTAAATTTCCATGTGCTCGCTATAAAAGACCCGTGCAAAAGACCCTCGGAGCTAAATCCCCAGGTAACTATAACGTCTAATTTCATACACACTCCCCCCGATTAAATGACGCATGTCAGTTAATAATGTCAACAATGATCACAGTATAATGTATCTGCGATAACAAACAAGTACTTATCGTCCACGTTTGCTCTGCTGCTTCCTGGCTTCGATAGCTGCAACTCGTTCTGACCTTACTGGAACACTTGTAGTTTCGTCAATGCGAGATCCCTCGACTGGATATACTTTCTGAATAGGTCGCTGCAACGTTGTTTCTTTTCCTTTGTTCCATATTCGGAGTGCAACTGCTCTAACCTGAGCATCGTTTCCTTTGAAAAGTTTTTCGACCTTTCCCAATCTCCATAGATTCCTTGGAGTTTTCTCTTTGTACACGCAACCTACATCTCCCTCCTTGGGATTCGCCTTCGCACTTCTTCTGACTCTTTTGACACGATGATGTTCTCTAAGCTCTAACAAATGCTCGCGTCTCCATCTTTTCCAGATTAATGTTCTAATAATTTCTTCAAATTAGTGGCGCGACGCGACAGACTTCCATTACCCGCAGGAGTGGCGGTCTCATCTCTCACGACAGGTGCTTGACTGAGAAGGCGACGACCAATAACTAAATGCGAAGGTGTTAACGGACCTTCACAAACTTCGTCACTATACACATACGTCAGTGGACGACTGTTGATAACGCCCTCTATCTCCACTAAGACTGTCTCCAATTCCTCGTACGTCAATCTAGCTCTTCGAACAATTTTTCTCAGGCACCTTTTCACCGATTTCACAAGTCTTTCAAAAAACCCTCCCCACCAAGGGGCTCTCTCAATGTTGAATTTCCAGCTGATGTTATTTCTGGTTGCGAATTCTGCAAGCTCGTTTGCCTTAAAGGTTTTTCCATTGTCCGAAGTAAACATTTTTGCGATACCTCTTCTGGACACGAATCTCTGTAAACAGCGAATAAATGCCTTTGTAGATAGATCTGGGACCAATTCGAGATGCAATACTCGTGACGAGGCACACGTAAATAGACAGATATACGTCTTAAAAACAGGTGATTTCGTACCTTTTGAGGGGGCACCCCCCCCCCCCCCCCCCCCCCCCC